ATATATATATATATATATATATATATATATATATATATATATATATATGTGTGTGTGTGTGTGTGTGTGTGTGTGTGTGTGTGTGTGTGTGTGTGTTACTTAAAACAATTTTAACAGTTTTACGATCCTACAAATACACGGTATTACTTTATTTGTTTTTGGAGTGAAATGTAACCTAAACACGTCTAAGAGAAATTCAACCACTCACCTCGGCCACCCGCGAGTCTTGCTCCAAGCTCACCGTGTCATTCCCGTGCTGCAGCGGGCTGCTCCGCAACACCGTGATGTGTAAGGTCAGAAGAAGGAGTCCCAACAGCAGCAGCAGCTCCGCCGCCAGACGCACCATCCTCTTCACCCGAGCGCTCTTAGGACCCTGCGCCGCCGCCGCCGCTGCCGGGCTTCCGCTACTGCCTCCTGCCGCTGCAGACACTCCGAGCTCGGGATCCGCCGCGGACGAGGAGCCGCAACACCACTGCGGAGCCACCTCTGGGTCCAGAAGAGCAATACTCACGGGAAAAAGAGTGGCTGGAAATGCCCTCGAAAAAGCCCAATCACTCCACGTTTGAAAACCAATCAGATCAGTGGGTGATCTATAACTCCTGAACTTAAAAGTGGGGTAATCCTGATGTCCAAAAAGAACTCGATTTACAGTTACAAAATAGAAAAGTAAGTCCCAAAAACTCCAAAGTCGTGTACCATTCCATTGAGGTATTCACTTTCTTTTTACATCAGAATAAAATGCACTTTATTGGTTGAGATGCGACGTTTTACTACTTTATTTGGGGTCAGTTTTACTTGTGCGCAGGTAAGTCATGCATCATTCTGAGATCATTCATTCTTATTTTTTTCCAAAATGAAATAAAACACTAATGACTCCAGGTCAAGCAAGCTCAGATCTTCGTGGGTTGTTTACCTCTCTAATATAAAACTTCTGAGATGGATACATTGCTGCGCTTCTGTGTGTTGCGCAAAGTGCTGTCATCCTCTCCAAACGCCCAAGTCTTCACGGATGAAGCGTAAAGCCCATCTTCAACGTGATCATGATCCAAAGTTCCTCCTCTGACTAACTCATCTGTGCTCTGTCCTCTGGAGGGTGTTTGAGCCGCTCTTGCGCAAGAGTCTCCACGCACACCTTCAGCGTAAAAGCGCGCTGTCAAATAACACACGACACCACAGCTCAAGACTTATGTGAGTATGAGCGTGTGTGTAGGTGTGTGCGTTTCCTTCTTGCGTTGTGTATCTTTAGTCCAGCACAAACACAGTCAGACTCGTTCCCACAAAGCCTATGGTGTTTTTATATCCCCCTCTTCTTTTGGTTTGCTGTCACCTCCCCTCCCCACAGATTTAACCCTTTATGCGCTCTCACACGAGTGCGCTCATCTGCAAACACGCGTCTGTCTGTCCTCTGTGGGAAAATACATGTGAATTCTATATTGTCTGTGTTGTGTCTAGAATTTTCACAGTGGATAGTAGAAAATGTAACAGACAAGCATGTTTGTTCAAACTAAATATATTAGACATTTTAATGACATCAAATGAGACACATTAAGAATAATATTATGATAATAAATGACATACATGTATAAAAATGCTTCTCAGCTATGCTAAAGTTATGTTTCCTGGGTTGGGCAAATATACATTGAAATGTATTTTAAAATAAAATAGGAAATTCCTCAATTTTGCATGTATCAAAATAAACTACAGAACACAGCAGCTACAACATCTATCAAAATAAAATGCTGTATTTTGCATTTAGAAAATACTATAAAGTACTTTTACAAAGAAGCATAACATTTCTTCACAAACCTTCCATCAGTCAGCCTAATGGAGCAATCACCTCACCATTAAACTGGCTTAGTGAAGTAAACAATGACTGATAATAAGTTTAAGTCAGCTACTTTGCACCTTATTCACTTATGAGGAGGTATTCATAAAAATCTAACTTGCAGGCCCGTCGCCAGGGGGTTCAGGTGGTTTGAAAGACCCCCC